TATAACTTACAGGATTTCCAAAATAACCTGTGAGTGAAGTGGAGATCTAGAGCCGGCATCTCTAACTCTTCTTCTTTTTTTTTCCCCCAGTAAATTGGTACACAATAAGGCAGGTACATTCAAGTACTGAATTTTCCCAAATTAACTCGTCTGGTCCTGGGAACCAAAGGGAGTAAGTTGAGGCCCCCTAACCAGATTTTCTGGCTAGTGATTAGAAAAAAAAAAAAATTCAGCCAGCAAGTGCTACAAAAACAAAGCAGCTAGGGCACTTCCTTTCCACAGAGCAGGTCTTTCTGGAAAATGAGAGTGGTGCTGGCCTGCATCTCTATGCATCCAGCTACGGCCTGGCAGGTCAGCTTAGTGTAGGTATCACAGAGTCAGCAGGAAGAAATGAGATGATATGGGTGAGGAAACATGAAAGTAACACTTGATTTTTGGTGTCCAATTACGCGTTCATTTGGTACTGACTTTCAAAGCTCTGACTGGCCATCTTTCGGCCACTAGCATCTCAGAGTGGCTCAGTGCTGTGAGGCATTGGACACCGAAATGAAGGTTACCAACACTTCAGCCCTTGAGTGGTCTGTATTATAAAAAGAGTTGATGAAGACCCAGTGATTATTCAAGTAGCTCTGCACAGTGGCTCCACCAGCCCCATTGTGCTTGTGTCCAGGCCCCCAGCCAGCCACCTTTTCTTGGGAGCAGCCAGAGCTGAGTTCAAGGCATTGCATGGTGAAGGTTTCCATGACACGTCTTTGTAGGTAGCTCTTACCCCTAAGCCCTTTGTTCATTGTTAGTCATGGTAGATGGTCGGTCTGGAATTCCTAGAGGAAAAGGAGAAAAAGCCACACCTCCCAGTGACCATGCACAGGACAGCTGAGCCCTCGGCGTGGAGGCATCAGCAGGCTGCCTCTGCAGGTTGGCTTCTTGAGAAGCGGGCAGCCCAGGGACAGACAGGCAGGGTGGACGAGGCTGCTGGGCACTGGGAGCATCGACAGGAGACTGGGCACAGGGATGGGCACATTCTGCCCCCCGGGGGAGCCTGTTCCATTTTGTGGCAAAGATTCAGTAAGCAACTGGTTTTGTCCAAGGCATTTCTGCAGTAGAAAAATAACTATCTTTGAATCAAACCACCCAACTGTGACACCTCTAGAGTAATAGAAGTTGGAGGCTGAGATGAACTGAGAGGAAAGAGGCTTGTGGGAAGGAAGGGGCTCTCTACATACCCATCCATCCACCAGAGCAAGGAAGTTCTAGTCAACCCTCTCCCAGCCTCAGGTCCAAGGCATGTAGTGTTCAAAGAGTTTGTCTTGCCATGTGGCACAGATGCATGAAGACCCCTTCCAGGCCTTTGTTCCCTTCTTCCTGAACCTCTGAGCCTGCGTGCTGCCCTAGGAGCGGCTGCCATTCTTTGCTACGAGACAAGCGTGGTGCAAAGCCACAGTGACACCTAGTGGTCAAGTATGGTGAAGCACAGGTGACGTCCACATATCCCACTGTGTATGACTAAAATCTAAGGAAAAATACTTATGGATACTAAATTAGATGCTGATTTAAAATTTTTCTATTGGGTACATCTCTGGAATATAAAAATACCAATATTTAGAGAGGGGATCATAAACTACTATACAATATAAGGACTGAGAATACCTTTCTCTAAGCTGTTCTGTTTACAATAATTTAGGAAAAGTGTTTAATAATCCAGGCTTAACTAAATTAGCAAAATTGTTTATCTGGACAATGACCTGGGATACTGTACATGATTCTAATTAATGGAATTTTCCTGAGCCATCAAGTTTAAGTTAAACACATCTAAAAAGAGGGGCCCATGGGAGAGGAACAAGAATGGTTTGTGCTCTATTAACTTGGGACTTTAATAGTGCACATCTGCAGCCCGGACAAGATACGACAGCAGATACAAAGTGGTCTCCATTTTGTCCATGCCAAATTCTCATGTTACACAGGTTTTCCCTTTACTTTGTAAATAAACATTAATTTTTAATTGTTAATTGTGTGCCTTACTGATCCAGTAAATAAAGTAACCATGTCTCAGGAGTCCCTAAGAAAATTGCTGGAAAAGCACTTTAAAATCACTGCAAATATTTTTTTGTATTAAAAAATTCTTAATCTTTTTGATGCTTATATACAACAATTATTTCTTGTGCTATAAATGTTGTGATCCACTGCTTGATGTCTTTCTTTTCCTTGTTTTTTCTTGAAAAATACACTAAAAGACAAGAGCGGTTCTGCTATTTTCTAATGAAGACATTACTCACACTTAAATATCCAGTATTTATCAGAGTCACAAATTCAAACAGTAAAGTGCACCCATTTATAGACATGATGTGATAGAAACTCATTAGTGCAAGAATTTTGGGCAAACGGAACATACAATTCGGTGAGAAACCTATAAGCTGAAGTTTGTCACCTCTGTTCTCCATTTCAGGGTGATGTGAACTGGGTGAGTGGAACTTACCGGTTTCCTATGAAAAACTCCCCCTCACCTGAAGCCACACACTGATTCGGCAAGTGTTTGCTGCTGGGGAAGGGGCATCTCGAAATACAGTACTACGATCATCCCATGGCAGTTAAGTAGCAAACGGCACAGGCAGTCTGCTTATGAGGAAAAACTTTGTCTCCTGCTCCAATAAGCTTCAGCTGGCATCTTCTAGTCAAAAACAACTGGCACCCAGTAGTGATACTCACTCCCTTTTATAATGGCAAAAAAAAAAAGAAAAAAAGAATTCCATTTTGACTGTTGACATTTTAGGTGTTTGCCCAATATGTTATAGACCCCAAATCTCCTGTTTGTCCTGGAGAGCCCAGAGACCCTGGGGAGAAGTGGCATCAGTGGCAGATTTGTAGAGCTGCAGGACCTGCTCACCCCCCTGGTCATGCTGAGTGCAGGTGGCATGTGTGGCATTCCTGATAAGCAGGGGCACTTTTCTAACAGACACTGAGGAATTTTTTGAAATGTAGCAGCTCCTCAGTGACGGGGCTAAAAAGGAATAAGATGTAAAGAGACCAACAGGGCTGAGACTGGCCAAAAAGGGAGCTGAGAGGCTGCTGCGCTCCTGCTGTACGCTGACGCTAGAGCTATAGATTTCATCTTCTTGGGTGCGTGTGAGTGTGCCTGCCCTGGTCAGGATGACGAGGCGGCAGTCCTTAAGCAATCAGAGAGAATGGAAAGAGTTAGGTCTTGAGTTAGCCCAGCTGTCTGCTTCCAGCACAGAGAGACAAGTCCTGGCCTGTTTTAGGCTTGAGGGTGGGGCTGGGGGGGGTCCATCTATTTGGCAGAATCTAAATTAGTAAAGAAATGTTTCTGATCTCAGTTTCATGTTCCCTTCAGAGGATATTTACTATTACAAATGGCTCCGGTCACAGCCGGATTTTATTCAGGAAATTGTCCTTCCTGTAGCCCTTGACTAACAAGAGGGGAATGATCCTAATAACAGAGAACTAATGCTCTTTTGTTTAGTTGGTTGGGTTGTTTAATTTTAACAGCTGATGAACAGCCAGTATCAGGCCTGTGCTAAGGCTGTGGTTTCAATGTTCTTGTTGTCCGTTTAATAGTGGCCCCAGTCCCTCAAAAGTCAGGTTAGCAAATGACCATGAGACCTAGGTGTGCAGAGTGCTCAGATCAGAAACCTGTTGTCTGTCTCATGCCCCACCCATGGCTAGAAAACAGGGCACAAAGGGGTCTTTCTTCACCCTGAAACACTTTTTGCTGTGTCTAATTTTAAAATATCACCCCCCCCCAACTACTCCTAGAAAAAGAAAAGAAACAATTCCTGTAATAACAGATAATCAAATTATAGATCTCGAAATGGAACTAGACGTGGCATGGAACACAATAGCCCTGGGTGCAAACTCTGGGGATCAGTCTTATAGTCCCAAGAGAATCCAATTTGCTTCTGAAAAAACCAATTTCTTTACTATGCCATCTGGGTTTAAAAAAAGAAAGGCCAGTAGAACAAAAGCTGGCTCTAGGTGAAGATCCAACTAATAGGACTATTGTACAGATCAACCCTTCAGGAAGAGTTTGCTTTTTATAGAATATTATGCTCAGTGATGTATCAGGATCTAAAAAGTATACTTCACCAAGACAGATTTTCTACAAGCTTTCATTGAGAATCCAAAACAATCTTTCTCTTTCTATATATTTATTCCCTCCCCCACTTGTGGAAAATCAGTAGCTTTCAGTGGTTGTTAGCTAAAAACCTAGAGAATAATTTTCAGTGAATTCTTTTAAAGTATTCATAATTCTCATCTAATTTCCTTGGCTGAAATATTTTAAAGGGCTAGTTGTTTTTTAAAATGTTCCTAAAATGCCTCTTG